CTTACAGAAAAAACCTCTCAAAAAAAAAAAAAAAAAAGTTTATTATTTCCCAAGATAAAAACTTTTTCCGATATACTTTGGACCTTCTAGAAAAGAAACAGTGTTCAAATAAGATTAAACTGCATATCTTTTCCTGGTGGCCAACTATCTGTAGCCCTCTATTAGCCTCTGAGTCATTCTTGGAAGGATGTGCTAAAATAACCATAGAATAATGTGTATGCCAATGCTTTGAGGAGAGAAAGCCTGTCCATGTTTAGCAATTACGTTAGGGTCTTTATGGTCCCGATCCTGCAAAGACCTCAGGTTGTGGAGAAGAGGTCAGGAAAGGAATTAACTCAAGAATAAGTTTCTAAAAAACTCATTTTTATTTTCAAGTATGCTATCCCCTAAAATAGTGTGTGATTTTTGAAACACCTGAAATGGTTTCCTGTAACCTAAGGCTGGTGCTTTTGAGTTAGAAGACACTTGCCTCAAAGATTCTTTGGTTGTAAATACCAGGGGATTAAAACTCTAAGATAAGACATGTCCCTGCAGCTGCTGGGAGTTTGGGGAAGAAATAATCATAATGGTGATAAGATGAAGATAGTAAAACAATACAAAATTTGACCCCATTGTTATACAATAAAAATGCATATCATGGAAAGCGTAACATTCATGTACATCATTTTATTTTAAACATATCCCATATGTATTATTAGGGTAAAACTTCGAGATTGTTCCTTTTACAGTCAAAGGAGAATAGGAGCACTCACATAGTCTCACTACCCTTAGGGTGCAAAATTTCTGTGGAAATCTTGAGAAGAATTAACCTAAAACAGCACAGGCTCCCAACCTGGTTTTCAAAATCTATGGTAATATGGTCTCACTGTTCCTCTTTGAACTTATCTGAGACCTGAATTTCAGCTGGCACGGCCACCCCTGGTGATCCTCCAGGACCAGAACGTGAGCACTACATGGTGCTTCAGTGAAATCTTGCTCCCAGTGCACCTCTCCCTCCCTTCTCCTTTGCAGCTGGAGTTTAGTCCAAGCTTCTGTCACACTCGGGCCCTTCCTGACAGTCCTCTCCTCTCTGCCACATCTGTACCGTCTTTCATGTTATTTGCCGTTATGAACAAGAACACTGGTTAAAAAACATACACTTTCGGGGCCAGCAGGTAGCATGATAATTAAGGCACTGGACTCCCACATGGCCGACTCTGCTTCAAATTCTGGATCTAGCAGCTGGAAACTCATGCCAGGAATGTGTGCATGCATACCCAAAATCCCAAGAAGAGAAGAAGGGATTGCTGTGTGGCCATCCTTCCTGAGGGGTGATTTCTCACTTTCTGTTTTTCTATCTCTCTCTGGCAAGTCCACATGCCCTTTGGCAAAAAAAAAAAATCTAAAAATAAAAACACTTTATTTTTAAAGTTGTATTTAATGTCGTTCCAATGTAGACTTAATATTCTTTAATATTCTTCATAACTCCTGATGCAGTATCAAACACATAGGAACAGCAATTATAATATAAAGACAATATTTTAGTGGTTATGGAATCTGGATTTTTCATTTTATTGATAAGGTGACCACTGGATGAACGAATGAAAGGAAATTAAAAAAAAAAAGAAAAAAGAAAAACCTGAGAAAGAAGAAGAGCGATTTTATTGGATCTTCTTTTAGTTTTTGTAGAGATTAGTTTTAACATAAAGCTCTTGGGGAATTAAGAGATAGTGAGGCAGGAAGAGAGACTCCCACTGTAGCTGTGGCACATAAATTAGGTCAGAAATCTGGAATTTTTGTCTGATGGAAAGCATTGTTTTATGCTGGCCTCTGGGGATTTTTCATGTTGTTCTGAAAGAGTTCTGGTATTTCCTGACGCAGGAGGAACAAACAGCATTTTTGTGATCTCCCTCTCTGCCCCATGCACCCATGTGCCCTTGTTTTAGCAGAGGTTTATTTTTGGAGTTCAGCCTATTCACATGCAAAACCGCAAAACCCACACCAATCCTCCAGAGGTTCCTCTACAGTCCTCTCCACTGTCCTTACATCACCACTAAATTTGTTTGTTCAGGTGTGTCTAGCCTCCTTTTTTTAGTGTGACATCATTAACAGGTTGGTGTTGGGTGGAGAGAGAGAGTGGAAAGAAAAGTGAATGCTGGAGATGGGAAATGAGCCCACTAAGGTCTTCCCTGAGAGGCAGGTGAAGTAGAGGGTTTTCTCTTCACACCTCGTTCTCTGTAGAGGAGCGGTACATGCAGTTATACTACTCTAAGCATTAGTCTGCTCACTTTATAACTCATTTAATCCTCATGGCAGCCCTCAGAGATAGGCACCATTCTGATCAGACACTGGGCCCTGAAAGGTTGGAGCTCAATCATGTGAGCCAGGTGAACTGGGGTCAGTACTAGCTTTTGACCCCAGAAAGTCCAGACCCAGAGTCTGTGCTTCCCTCCACTATATTACAATACCTCTCGAAAGAGGCATTTAATTTTGTATTCAGATTAATTTTGAAGTAAGTTTAATACATAAGAGAGTGAGTGAAACATTAAACGGTGGCCTCATACTCCATTACTGATTTGGATCATTTCTAGGGTCAGAATTGGTCATGTCTTTACACAGAATTTTAGAGAACTTGTGGAGGAAAAGTGCAGTTGTGGAAGCAACACACACTTGAAGCATGCTATGGCTTGAATGGGTCCCCCCCAAGTTCCTGTGTTGAGACATGGGATCTTTAAGAGATGATTAGGTCATACATAGAATAAGGCTGCCATCCTGAGAATACGGTGGTTCAGAGCAGCCCTCTCTTGTTCTCTCTGTCTTGTGTGTTTGCAGTAAGAAAACCTTCATTGAACCAGGAGGTGGTATGGTGCTTAGGACTGCTGGTCCCATATGGCTGACAGCACAGTTCAAGTCCTGGACTTGGCAGTTTTAAAAACATGCTGGGTGTGTGCACATGCATTTCCAAAATCCTGAGAGGAGAATGGAAAAGGAGAAGAAATGGTTGCAAGGCCATCACCCTGGGAGGTGCTTTCTCACTTTTGCGGTCTTTATTTCCCACCAGTGAGTATACACACCCTATGGCAAATTCCAAAACAAACAAACAAAGCCCTCAGTAGGTATTTGATTTCCTAACCTCAAGGAGTGTAAGAAATAAATTCCTTTTCTTTATAAACTACTTAGCCTTTTATAGTATGTTATAGCAATAAAAAATAGGGTAAAATAAAAACATTTACCTAAATCAAAATTCAAATATTCATTACGAACCTCAGAAGACAGCGTGAGGAAGACTTCATGGAGAGACATTTGTCCGTGAAATGGACCTCAGATGCTCATTTACAGGTGAACCCCACCTATGTTGAAAAATCAAATATACGTTTATTCCTTAAATGGCTCTTTAGATTTCCTGTGAGAGAGAGGATTCTGAACTGTAAGGAGGGGGTAACACGGTGCAAGTTACATTTTAAGAGAATTTGGTACATGGAGTGGATAAAGGATGAATGAAAAGAAAGGATTGGAGAAGGAGAACCTCAGTAGGGTACTATACCAGTATGTGAGGATGGCTTGGCAGTTGAACTAAATGCAAAAAATGTGGGCATGAAAAATTTATTGAAAATCCGTGATTGAGAAAAAAGGCAACTCGGAGGATTGAGAAGTGGAAAATGTCTCTGAAGGTTGTAGTGAGGAAGAAAGAGATAATGAAGTGTCAGGACAGACGTGAGCTGGAGCGGGAGGGGCGGGGTACTGGAATGTAGATTCAGGAGGGAAAAGATTGTGCCTCCCTGTGCCTGACACCTAAGAGATTCTCAACGAACGCTGAAGAGGGGGTCACCACTTCATCTCGGGGAAGAGGAATCACTTTCATGGGAAGGTGATGTACTCCGTTCGTGTAATGATTTTGAGGCAAAGATGGTGTCTTAGTTTGCTAGGGCAGCCACAATGAAACCCCACACACTGGATCTTTTTTAAAAAGAAGTTATTTTCTCACAATTGTGGAGGGCAGAAATTTAAGAACAAGGAGTTTCCAGGGTTGATTTCTTCTGAGATCTTTGGTCTCTTTCCTGGTCTTGTGGATTGCTGTTTTCTTGGTCTTCACATGACCCTCTTCTAGGTGTCTGTGTTATAATCCCTTCTCTTTGTGAAGGCCCTGATCATATTGCAGTAGGACCCACCTATATGATCTCATTACAACTTAATTATCTATTTACAGGCCCTATCTCCCAATATAGTCAGATTCTGAAGTACTGGGGGTTAGAACTTCAACACCGAATTTGAGGGGCTGTACATTCATAACAACTGGTAATTCAAGTGCACATCCTAGAAGCAACTGGAAATAAAAGATTACAACACAGGGAAGAGAACCAAGCTGAAGAGAGTGATTTGAAGAGGTTACAGCAGATGATAAAGCCATGAGAAATTACAGCATCTTTCCTAGCAACTTGTTCCAAAACAAACAAAATGTATTAAGAAAAAAATAAAAAACATGGGAACTTCTTGGACAAGATTTTGGGAGTGACTAAATCTAAGCCTGTCCAGAAAATAATTAAGAGGATAATAAAGAGCTAAGTCATGCTAGAATCACAATCCAAACAGTGTCTATCAGAGGGAACTCCTAACCGTTGTATCCACCAAGTGGGTTTTAGGATAACTACTCAACTGGGCTGCACCATTTTGCATCCCAGAGAAAGTCTCAAGTGGTAAACTGACTCTGAGTGCTCTATGACGGATTTTGGGTTTGTCCCTGTCATGCTAACTCTTGCTGGGACAAGTATGCCCCATTTTCCAAAGAGTAATTTACATTCACAGCTGAGTTTACTCTGTTTCAAGACAAAGGAATCCTACTGTTTTTTCAATTCATACAGCTTTGACTTTCTACTGTAAAAGCATGGGCATGGTCGTGTCCCCATGGTGGAATTACACTAGCAGTGTTCTCCGAGTAACTAACTATGAGCTTGTGCAAGATGATGGCTCTCATGATGTATTATAAAAGTAAAGCCAATGAGTGGTAAATTGACTTAGTGAAGAAGGAAAAAAAATCTACAGTTGCACTTTGCTACCAGGAAAAGCCACAACCATTCCACTTTTCAAAGCAGTGCTGTTCACAAGTAGGGGCTTCAGAAAGATGTGGGTCAGAAGCACAGTGTGGAAATTAAATATAATACCCCACAAAGCTTCTCCTTGTCATGAGACAAAGATCTTCAAACATGGTTTTCTGGGCTTTGTATGAGCCGGCCTCTGCTGAACTCCCCAGTCTGGCTTCTTGGCTCTTCATAAGTCATTCTCCTCTTCTCATCCATGCCATCCATCTCGTTGTCTGGTGCCATTGTCAGGACCTCAGATCACATGATTCCATAATTGAAACGCACATCCAGTTGGGTCTTGAATATATTCTTTTACTATTAGTATTATTACTTATTATAGCCCCATGTTATTTTTCCTTTATAAAACTTGCTCATGGTGACAGGTGGTGGCACAGTGGACCTATGTGAGAAAGGTTTTTAGTTCATAACCCTGGGCCTCAATGAGCATGCCAGGCATGTGTACACGAACCTGTGAACTCATGATCTGGGGCAGCGAGCCTGGGGGTGGGTCAGAGTATGAAGACCCTGTTCAAGGGAGTCTTCTCCCTCTCTCTTTTTCTCTGTATCTGTCTTATGGAATTAATAAACTTAAATACAAAAGATAGCAGTTATTAAATATGACTCTGATAATTAGCCACTGATGGGATCTCTAAAGGGGCAAACCTCACACCCCTTCCTTAGCCACTCTGTACCTGATGTCTAGAACAGGACTAGATCTAGCAGCCGTGGAGTCAAGGTTTACTTAATTAACGCATGTATGTCTATGACTTGTCTTTTTTAACACCTCAAATTAGTTTCAATACAAAGTGGGACGGTATGGTGGGAAGACAGCAGGTTGTAGAATGAGGCCCGGCTGAGTTTCAATTGAGTTGTCCCGTTGTATTTGTCTGAAGTCAGATGAAAGAGGTATCAGTTGCTACTTTCCCTCCTCATCTTTGATCCTCCCGTTGAAGACTCACTTTCATCTGAAAGTGTTCCCTTCACTTTGCCATGCCACATTCTTCAAAATGGCCTTCTCAATCGGAACGCTTCCTCGGTGTTCTTTCCTTTGCCTTAAATTGTTGTTGTTCCACATCCTTTACACATTATAAACCCTGTTCACAGGGTTCTCATTTCTTTCATGACTTCAACAGCCAAAGCTGCATTTTCTTGCTGTCTATTATCACCTCCACAGAGCACCGTGAGCAAGCATCGTAGTGCACACCCGAATCATGCTGTACTTCTGGCGTTAGGTGATAGTTTAACAAATTGTCTATGGTTTATTTCTAATTGTATTCATCCCACTGCCAGTTCAGGTTTAGCTTTTTGTTTAAAAGTTTATTAGTTTCGTTTATGAAAGAGCGAGAGACCCACACCAGGATCTCATGCCGTCGCACTCTCCTGGCCTTTCTAGCCAACACCATGTGTGAGTCTGATCAACTGGGGACCTGAGCCCACGATCTTGCAGATGAGCCCCCCTTCATTTGAACTGCATGCTACTGTGGTGCCCCAGAGCTGGACTGAGTTGTTCTTTAAAAGTTTTTTTTTTTTCCCCTTTGCAAACTTGGCAATCTGTAGTATAATATATAGATCATCCATTGCAATAACATCTCATGTTTCACTGAGTGATCTCAGAGACCAGATATTCCTTCTAGTCCGTTCATAGGACTTTGCATGTACATGGCCTGGTGGTTAAGGTGGCTGAATTGACATGACAGCACAGCGCAAATCTCTGATTTAATGTCTTGAAAAATGCACTGTGTGTGTGCCTCAAATCTCAAGAGGAAAAAGGAGAAGGGATTGTGTCATGGCCATCCCCCACAAGAGGTATTTTCTTTCTTTCTATCTGTCTTTCTGTCTTTCCAGTGAGAACATGCACCCTACAGCAAAATTAAAAAAAAAAAAAGTTCACATCTCACTCATCTCACTTCTGCTGCCTCCAGTTGAACGTATGCATGCAGCTACTTTATGATGGACAGCACTAAACTCCTGCCAAGTTTGATGATTAATAGCCAGGCTGCTGCCGTAATAGGGCTGTTCCAAGAACTGAGAAAATGCATTTAGTCATCTGCCCACTCTCTCCATTAAATTTAATTTATGGACTATGGATTTAGTGTAGGGA